GGTGGCAAGCAAACCCAGATCTTTGTCCCATTTAAAAAAATTAACACTTTTACAGTTCTCCATAAATTATCTTTTATATTACACTTTTAAAAGCTAGGATCCAAATAGAGTTTCTGCATTGCCTTTTTATATACGTTTAATCTGTAATACATAGAATATTTTCATGCTTGTCTTATGCAAAGTTTAAGTGTTTAGTATTAAATTCTAGTACAATTGAACATTAGAACCTTTGAAAGTCAAAAAACTGTCAGAGAAGGAAAATTCCTTGGTTATTTATGAGATTTACAGTTGAGAGATGTAGTAAGCATGCCATTAAAGATGGAAAGTATGCAAGACCTTGGAAAACAAAATGGGACCCATCGTGTTCTTGACTTTACAGATTTTCTGTATATTTTTCATTATGATTTTGTTTAAGTAGTTTTTCTTATGTAATTTTTATGGTAAACATTGTGTCTAGCACAGATCTTTGTAATAAAAACATACTGCAAGTTGAAGATGTGATTTTAAGTGTTTTAATGGTTATAACTGAAAATTTTAAATGATAAATCTTTAACCAAATATTTAGTTATTTACAATAAAATTGTACATGAAATTAAAAACTAGCCAATAGAAATTTATGTATGAGGCATTTTTCATAAGTTTTGCATAATTCAAAGGTAGCATATATAGTAAATGTTCTGGTTTAAAAAAAAGTAAAATTTTAAAACCAGATTGCCAAAAAGATACTTTTCCAGTTATGGAATCAAGTTTATTGTTGACGTTAATTAAGTTTTTTTTGTTTTTTTTTTAAATTAAGGTTGTTTCTTAGGGTTACTAGTCAGACAAGTTGATGAGAGAGCATGGTTAGTGTTTGCGTGCAGAACAATTTCCTAGGTTGCATTTTGTTTTCCTGTTCCAGACCTGGAATCAACCATTTCTCCCCCAAATATCTGGCTCCTTTTCAAAGGTATATTTAATACATGGACTCTTTGCTAATACAAAACCTGTTGTCATTGAGTTAATTTTATCCCAGTCATTTATGGGAAAGTATAATTGAAATTTTTAAAATTTGAAGATATAAACTTTCTCAACATCAACTCCATCAAATAGAAGACACTTTTGGAAGTGATGATATGAGCCATTGAGCCCATCTCTGAAGTAAGAGGATCCTGGGTGTGACATTTTTGTCAATTTGATGCGGTGTGATGTATCGGGGTGGAGTCTAACCTATCATCAGGTCACAGCCTGATGATGCTTCTTTGGGGACATGGCCTTTTTAATACGAAAGATAGTGAGGGACATCTCCCACCCCTCTCTGGCCCTTGGCCTTCCTGCTTGCTGGGAATTTGTCTGCCTACAAGGGTGGCCACATGTGGGCACTGTCCTGCCATGTTCCCATCTACCTAGGATCCACGTGACTGCACCTACCGGCTTGTAGTCTCCCTGCATGTTGCTTCACCTTTTGGTATCATCAATTTTCAGCTACATGAGTCTGAGTAGACTCTGGATAGCACTGGACCCATGGACTAGGGTTAGACTGGACTGTCATGCCTTCTTGATGTAAAATTAATTCTTGATGTAAAATTTGTTCTTACATATATATGAGTGTCACTGCCTTTCTTCCTCTAGACAACACAGCCTACCACACTGGGTATTAATCGCTGTCAATTCTATCTTTAAAAAATATATATATAAAAAAACATAATTAGCTGATGAATAATGAATGCCCTTTAAAGCTTTTTTTAAGACTAAGAAACAAAAGTAAACAAGTCCTGTAAATTAGGACTGTGAAGTGGCAATTCCTCACAGAAACTCATAAAAATTGCCCTTGTTTTATGAGGGGCATCAGCAGCATTGTCTTGGTGGAGAAGGACTCTAGTCAAGTTTTCTAGGGTGTTTTTATGCTAAAGCCTTGGTTGATTTTAATATTAATTAAGCATGGTTGTTCTTTGGCCCTCTAGACAGTTAATGAGTAGAATGTCTTGAGCATCCCCAAAGTCTTATGCCAGGCCTTTGGCACTTGGCCTGTCTGCTTCCCATCCACGCCAATGCCTTTGTGGTGCTTCTTCAGGATCAGACCGTAAAAGCCATATTTAATCTCCTGTTGCAATTCTTTTTTTTTTTTTTTTGGTCCATCCATACCCCTTATTTGCATGGACCCACCCCCACAATGGTGCTATATACCTTCTTTGGATTATTTGTTTGTTTTTCATCGTTTTATTGAAGGCTATTGCAGCTCTTATCCTGTTGCAATTCTTCCAAGAAATTCTTCAGGATCAATCTTGATCTCACATAGTTAACATTTCTATTGCAAGCTGTTCTCTTGTGTGAAGCTAATCCTGATACAATAACTTTGGCATCCATTCAGTGGACTTGTTCTCAACTTTAATTTTGCAGAAAACTT